AGCTATGCCAAGAATTTTGAATGAACATAATGACATTTACCTTTTAAACAAATAAAGGAGTTTTAATTATTTTTTCAAAGAAATTTAGCAATGCTTTTTCACAAAGACCTATTGTTACTTAGTTAAAAGGTTATGAAACATACGCAGTTATTAAATTGAATGAATAATAAAATAAAATAATAAATAATAATTATTATTATTATTAATATTAATTAATAATTGAATAATATACTAAATATTATTAAATTATTAACGTTAAATATTTGTTATTAATTATTTAATATTTTAAAAAAATAAAGAAAGCCAAAGAAGTATAACTTCTTACGCGCGTACATAAGTACACGCACCCTTTTTTTTATGTGTAGTCTGTGTGAACCAATACGATGTAGACCTCAAAAAGGAGCGAACACATACTTTAAAAGCTCCATTCAACGTGCCCTTCAGGTCCCTATCATCAATTGATAAATTATTTGAATATTTGATTAGAAAACTGAAAGATAAATATGTAATTGTAAGTATTAGTTACCATTTGTAACATCAATTGAGTGTTGAGGTGTAATGTTATTGCGCAAATAAAAAAGAAACGGTGGCAATATCATCTATCATAGCTTTGAAGTATTTCCGAACCATTTTGACTTAGGGTACTCCATGATAACGGCGTACCATATCTTAAAAGGCCGCCATCGCACTTACGAGCCTTCTGTGAGCATCTTTTTTTTTTTAAAGATTAGTAGGTAATGAGCCTGCCTGACACACGCCGTCGATCTTATACATGCATGCCTGTTGTCCGTTCGAGCGTGTGTTAATTGCGGCGGAAAGAAAGGTCCATTGGTGCATAGCCTTCCGCACAAATAGCGCACGACCTTACGCGTAAACTGGTCTCGGTCCTTGAATATGTAGACTTGTAAACCAGGGCGCAAAGAAACATTTATTACTTTACAGTACCATAATCATTTAAAGAAAACACTTTTTTACCGGATTGAAGTTATATATTATTATAAATTTACAATTATTTTACATAATTTTAAATTTAACCGACGTTTCGCGGAGTTGAACTCCGGGGAAATAAATACAGACAATACGAGTACTATACCATAATCATATAACAGGCCACGAGGCTTCTGTTTCACCGTCAATTTTGTAAGTCAGGTGTATTGATTTCTGTCTACCACATAAAACAATTATCTGAATGTATAGGAGCGACAATCGATATGCCGATAAGATAATCCAAGTTTTTAAAAGCAATAAATTGCGAACGAGCAAAGCTGTTTTTTTTTAAATATCCCACTGTACTTTATCTCTCTATATTGAATCTTGTTTTAATTAAATATCCAATAATAAAATGAAGTTATTTCTTAATGAACGTTAGAAAATGGATTAGAAGCGTCACTACACTAGACTGGTCTCAAAGGAATTTATATTTTAATAAAGCTTGCTACTTAATGGAATCTAAGGAATATCATTTTTCAAATTAAGTTTTACTAAACGCATACCGTACGTGTAACACATTGATGACTTTAAAATAATGATTTGTTTATTCAGTTGACAATATTATTTATGATTGTAAGATGAATACATCTTAATTATGAATTACAGTGCGATATTATAATAATAAAATGTGAGCTGTGACTTGACCGTGTGACTCTCACCTCTGAGAACGTCCGTTCGAGCCACGGCTGTGCAAGTGTTATTTGTACACTGGCTGGCAGAAGGCGGACCACATATGTCGTATAAAAATTATGAAGAAACAAAAACGTAGGGCGCCGCCTTTTTTTAATAACAAATTAACCTAACTTGTAGTGGTTAAACCAAGAACGTCTGATGTGGCAGTCCATACTCAGTGATATTACTAAACACTAGATGAACGGCTCTTATTCTCTATAAACAAGAAGCTAGTTATGTAAAAATGTAAAACAAAACACCGCTATTTCCTTGTAAAATTGCGATCACAGTACGCTATGCGAAGAATTATCACTAAGAAGGTTGTTTTATATTGAGGAAATTCTTTTTTTCTACCTTGACTAGTATTCGAAGAATTGTCTCTAAGAAAGTTGTTTTATTTTGAGGAAATTCTGATTTTCTACCTTGACTAGTATTCGAAGAATTGTCACTAAGAAGGTTGTTTTATATTGAGGAAATTCTGATTTTCTACCTTGACTAGTGATGCACCAAGGTTGTCCATGGTTGTATTTCGTTAATGCTATAATCCCGGAATGAATAGTTAGTGACATACCGCAGACATAGTAGGATCATGTACACTTATGATCCATAACATACACACGTAGAAATAAAACAAATGAATGTTATTGTTTGCTGATAATCAGTAGATTGTGAATGGTTCGTGTATGTGATATCATATAGATGATAGATGGAGGAGGCACATCTGATGTTAAGTGATATCACTGCCAAAAGGATCGCAAATGCGTTGCGGGTCTTTTAACAATTGGTACCATCCTTTCTTGAAGTAGGCACCTTCATTACAGTTTAACTAGTTCGGACATTCCGTGGGCAGCTGGTTCCACATAGTAGTGGTGCGCGATAAAGTGGCATTATATGAGAAGGTTAGCCGGGGTTTTATGGTATACCAATAGCTGACGTCAAAGTGATACGGGTGATTTCGTATTCTGCTTCGAAGAAAATCAGCTGCAGGCATTAATCCGAACACTTCCTCTGCACACTCTCGACACTAATGCAGTGGAAGATGTAAATATGCTTTCCTGTCGATTACTTATAGGAATTAATTGTGTAAAACATTTTAATATTAGCCCATGTGATGTCTCGTGTTAAAGCTAGTGTACTAATTAAGGTACATTTGCTTTCAATTACGCTTTGAGTATTCGAGCATGAAAGTTTAAATTGTATGCGAAGCTATCGACAATCGCTTCATCCGGCAATGAAACATGATGCATATACATTGCGTGCTTTATTGGTATTATTATCTTATCGCTTTTTCTTTGTGGATTATTTCGCCCTGCCTACTTTGATAGAGGATCAAGGCTGTGACTTTATATAGATGCTTAGGAGCATGATGTAAAAGTTACATATTCTTATAAGCATTTACAAAGGGTGCCGTTGTTTCTTCTAAGTTCTTCTTGTCCATTATATGATATCGCTTGGAGAACTGACAGTCAATGGGATTTTAGAATGGTTTTATCGCCGTTCATATTTGTCGCCTATATGATGTTTCGAAACACTCTAACTGTACGTTGATAACTATTTTTTGACCATATTTTTAATGTGAAACTTCTTTGAGGGTAAAATGTTTACGGATGAAACGCAATAATAATATTGGCGTCACGAAGATGTGCAGCGTTTTTGTCGAAGAAAAGGGAGAGAGCGATTGAGACCGATTGAGAGAGAGTGAGAAGGGCGAATTACCTTATAGAAATTCTATTTTTAAAATTAAAATTTCGTAAAGAGAATTTATGAAATATTAGTATTTTATTGTTTATGCAAAAATAATTTATTGAAATCTCAAATGACGAATTTTATTAAAATGCTACGTGTTTTTATTTTCAACGAAAAAAAAAAAAAAAACTACTTGTATTAATTTTCGACACTTAATATTTTAATGACAGTTAAATTCATTAAATTCCTAACATACTTCCTTTTTCCCTCCAAGTCTCGGAAATCTAAAGTTATAGATTTGTATAAATATGAACAAGACTTAAAAATTAGTTTGCCAAAGAAGTTTCACTTCTGACATGTGTACTTTGTACGCACGCACTTGTTTTTTAATTTTGTATTATAAAAAATAAGCCAACCGTATGCACTAAGCCATTGCGGCAAATCAATCGCTCTAATTAATCGACCAATGTACTCAGACTAGAAACACAATCAAGTTGTAGATATGTCTATTGGCAGTTGCAAGGTCGCTCATAAGCTACGAATATTAGGAAATATCATATATATATATAGATCATGTTAACCGAATCCTTACTAATTAAAATAGTATATACATATAGTGTATACCAAAATGACTTATAATTAAGTTGCGATAAAAAGTAAAATTAACTTTTAGGCCGCAAAAGTAATATGTTAAAGGCTGAAATGGTGATGGGCGGGAAAGATGGTAAGGATGAACGGGAAAATTCATTAAAGAAGTAAAATAATGGTACACTAGGGATGAAAGGAGACGCAAGGGAACGCAGATGAGGACTTGGCTACATGATATGAGAAGGTTACCTGGGGTTTTATGGTATGCCAATAGCGAAGGACAGATCAACATGGCAACATTTGCAGGAGGCCTTTGTCGAAATATAAGTTGATTAGTTTTTATAATAGCAATCTATAAAATAATGAAAAATCCTCTAGTATAGGAAAGGTTTTTGAAGTTATACTTCTTTAGGCGCGTTATGAAAAATTGGTGAGAGTGAAATTTTACGAAGCGCGCGCACAAAATTATCAGTATGAAGTTGCCCACTAACGAATTCTTTTTAAACCAGCCGGGCGCCGAGTGCGCGCGAGCGAGATGGGAATAAGACAATCTACAAGTAAAAAGAAATAGAATATGCGTGAAGTTAGCAGCTATGCCAAGAATTTTGAATGACCATAATGACCTTTGTAGTACCTTTTAAACAAATAAAGGAGTTTTAATTATTTTTTCAAAGAAATTTAGTAATGCTTTTTCACAAAGACCTATTGTTACTTAGTTAAAAGGTTATGAAACATACCTAGTTATTAAATTGAATGAATAATATAATAAATAATAATAATTATTATTAATATTAATTAATAATTGAATAATATACTAAATATTTAAAAAATATTAACGTTAAATATTTTATATTTAAAAAAAAAATAAAGAAAGCCAAAGAAGTATAACTTCTTACGCGCGTACATAAGTACACACACCCTTTTTTTTATATATTTCTATATTAAGTACACTAATATGTTTTTATCATTGTGAAAGAAGAACATGTATTTTTAAAAGGATGGCCATGATGGATGGAAGTTTGGATGGATGATTTAATGGTTTGCGTGATTTTTTAACTTTTTATTCAGCTCATGTACACTAACATCACTTCGGCTACCAAATTAATAATTTTTTTCACTTTGTCCTTTTGCACTTTCATAAGCTGTTTAACTAGTGTGTCGTAGTCGCCTCCATTACGAATTTTCTTTATGGCTAATTCTTTCGACTTAGCATCATACTGGCCGAACACTTTCTCCCAAAGCATTTTCAAAATCATGCCATCAATTGTTTTTTTGTCGAGTGTATCTATCTTCGTCTGAAACATAAGAACGACAGATGTGATTACAGTATTGGATTGCTTCTCTAGAAACACTTCCATATCATTGCTATTATTATTACTATTGGTAGGCTTCGTTGCATGAACTGGCTATTAGGTAGAAATGCCGCACTTAGTTTGGAAAATAAACTTCTCATCTACAAAACCGTAATAAAACCAATATGGTTATATGGAATACAGCAATAAACAATAAACTAAAAGCTCCCTCCTTATCAGAATGCCAAATCGTAAAATGACTGCTTCACGACTGATTTGAGCGCGACCGCCGCTGCGAAAACCGCTGTGCGAGTTCGAAAAGTGAGTTACAGAATCGCAAGGCTGCTCTGAGGGTCAGCAAGCCGCTCTTATATCGAAATCCTGCAGCGGCTACAAAACAAAACACTGCGAAATATGAGCGGTGCGCCGTGGTTAACACGAAATGCTGAAGTCCATATATATTTGGGAATTGCCACTGTCGAGGAAGACATTAAAAGATCATACGTGCGATACAAAATGAGCAACACGTCAACCCCCTAGCTTCGGGCCTCTTGGAAACGACGGACAGTGTGTATCGGCTGAAAAGGGCGAAACTTGCCACAGTCTGACAGTTTACGAATTACGGAGGGAATAAAAAATATTGGATTTGCGTTCCCTAATTGCCATCATTTCTCATAAAATCTGATAAAAGCCAAGAGGCTGATTGCAGATGGATCAAAATTAAAAAAATAATAATAATAATATTATTCAACATAGAAAAGAACTCTTCTTCTGTAGTCGCACATTCGAATACTGTCTATACAACAAAACAAGTGACCAAAAACAAAAACGTGTACAAGAACAGTGATATTCATCCTTTAAAAGAAAAATAATTAGTGAGACTCTGAGTGTTATTTACTCTCAACGTTAATTACAAATAATTGGTAAAAACAACAATTATTATTGTTTTAGCAACCAGTGTTGTGTTCTGGCATATGTCTGCAATACTCTTACTCATTCTTTCATTATATCATATTGAGTTATTAAATCTAATAGTAAAATTGAAGATGCAACAACCCTTGGTCTTTTATTTTTCTTCATATATTATTTCTTAATAAGCTTACCTAAGTCTACTCACTAATATTAAAGTACACACCTGAATTTTTTCAAAGAACAGTATAACAACAAAAAGTAAACACATTGTTCTTGACATGTCGACTGCTCAGTGCCAACATTAACTATGAGAGAAACGCAAAGTTAAGAATGCTACAACATCACAACACAATGTATTGGCACGCATTACTCAAGAACGATAAATAATGACAATATTACGCGTTCTTTGAAATCATGTTGAAATTTGCTTTTATTTGTTTGTTTGGCATATATTACATGTGACTGAGGAGAGTGATAAAGTTAATTTTCACATTTCATTGGTTTCAAGTATTTAATATCTTTACTTACAATTTGACTTATAGACCTGTCTGTTATGAAAATTTGAAAGTGAAGCGACATTTCATATTAAAAACGGAATTTATAAAAAATCATGTTTTACATTAAAAAATTAATGACTAGTCATTACGAAATCATCTAAAATTCTCCACTGACGTCAGAACAAGTTAGGTCACACTTTAAAATGTAATGTATTAACATCTGCACGAAACATAAAACAAGAAGGGAAAAAGGAAGATATGTTAGGAATTTAATGAATTTAGTTGTCATGAAAATATTAAAAGTGTCGAGAATTAATACAAATAATAAATTTAATGTATTTCTTCGATAATAAAAACACCTGGTATTTTAATTTACAATTCGTCATTTGAGATTTCAATAAATTATTTTGCATAAAATATAAAATACTAATATTTCATATATTCTCTTTACGAAATTTGAATTTTAAAAATAGAATTTCGTTAAGGTAATTTACCCTTCTCACTCTCTTTGAATCGGTCTCAATCGCTCTCTCCCTTTTCTTCGACAAAAACGCTACACATCTTCGTGACGTTTTTTAAAAATTTTACCCTCATGCTTCTAAAGAAGTTTCACTTCAAAAAGAATGGCAATACTTAATAGCTTTTAAAATTATAAAAGCAATAATAAAGTTAATAGAAATAACTTTTAGTTCTCTTTTGTATATCTTTAATTTCTCGTATGAGACAGAAGCGCGTTTGAAAATTGCATTACTGTATACGCGAGATCCGAACCGGATATTTCCTGTTGACCCCTGCAAAGCAATATAAATAAATACTGAAATATACAAAGCACATCTGAAAAACCATTCATACATGCAATTCCTTATAAATACAGTCAGCCTAATGGTGCGAATACACTATAGTCTAGTCGACAAGTTGAAAATGGAACAAAATAGAGATACTGCTCTTAAAATTATGTGCGATAGCTCATTCGAACCGGAATGACGCCTAGAAAAATGTGCTAAAAGCGTGTATTAGCACATAAAAAATTGCAAAAGTTATAGACCATTAAAGATGAAAAAAAAATGGAATTTAGTTTTTTACCAATATTTAATAAACTATTAATATTTAAGAAATTTCAAATAAAGATTCTGAAAGAGGAGGAAATTTCCAATAAAAAACTCTCAGCTCCCGGAACTCTATCTCCATTATTTATAACTTTAATTTAACGCTGAAAATAGGTCTGTGCGTGACATTTTTAGGATTCGCGCGTGGCGTCAAAAGCGACTACGGCACATTAATTAATTTATTTAAGGTATTGAATATTTTTTTTTAAATTTGAAAAAATTATGGTGTGTTCTGAACACTATAATTAATTTATTCCCGTTGGAAATTTTACTTAAAGTTAATTTTTCAACAAGTTAAATAATTGTTAACTAACGAAATTTTCTCGAACGACCGTCTTAATTGTAAGTGAAAAAAAATGTTTTAATAATGGTCGTAAAAATATTTCGCTTCGTAGAGCCTTTCTTACATACATACTTAACAAGATCGTGCCATAAAAGTTAAAGAAATATTTATACTTTGTTTATAACAATTTTTTTACTTAAATAAAAACTTAAAAATCCAAGTAATGTTGTTAAAAAAATTTTTTTTTTTCTAAATCATCATATTATCGTTTTTATATTAATACAAGATATTTATTGATTTGCAAAAAAAAAATTTCCCGCCATTTGTTGATAATTTTTTTTTAAACAAATTGATTAAATCAATTGTTTTAAAAAAAAAAATTTCACAACTTTATTACATTACAAATATTATGATTGTTTAAAAAAAAAAATTTCCTTAATAACATATTTTAATTGTTTATAATCGTTTTTTTTATATTTCTATTGTTTAAATAATTAGTTAAGAAATTTTTTTTTTCTAAAAATCATAATTCACAATCCTCTATAAAGTAACAGAAAAAAAATTTTTTTTAATCAACAATTCTATTGTTTATTAACTTACCAATTTGTTATAAACAAATGTTCAACTTTTTTATATTTTTTTTCTAAAACTTCTAAAATTAACAAAAACAACCATATATAACAAAATATAGAAAAACATTTTTTTAATTTTTTTGATTATCATGAATATTACTTTTATTAAAAAAAATTTTTTTTTTTTATAGACTTTGTTATATATGTTTGTTTTTGTTAATTTTAGAAGTTTTAGAAAAAAAATATAAAAAAGTTGAACATTTGTTTATAACAAATTGGTAAGTTAATAAACAATAGAATTGTTGATTAAAAAAAAAAATTTTTTGTTACTTTATAGAGGACTGTCAATTATGATTTTTAGAAAAAAAAAATTTCTTAACTAATTATTTAAACAATAGAAATATAAAAAAAACGATTATAAACAATTAAAATATGTTATTAAGGAAATTTTTTTTTTTAAACAATCATAATATTTGTAATGTAATAAAGTTGTGAAATTTTTTTTTTAAAACAATTGATTTAATCAATTTGTTTAAAAAAAAAATTATCAACAAATGGCGGGAAATTTTTTTTTGCAAATCAATAAATATCTTGTATTAATATAAAAACGATAATATGATGATTTAGAAAAAAAAAAATTTTTTTAACAACATTACTTGGATTTTTAAGTTTTTATTTAAGTAAAAAAATTGTTATAAACAAAGTATAAATATTTCTTTAACTTTTTATGGCACGATCTTGTTAAGTATGTATGTAAGAAAGGCTCTACGAAGCGAAATATTTTTACGACCATTATTAAAACATTTTTTTTCACTTACAATTAAGACGGTCGTTCGAGAAAATTTCGTTAGTTAACAATTATTTAACTTGTTGAAAAATTAACTTTAAGTAAAATTTCCAACGGGAATAAATTAATTATAGTGTTCAGAACACACCATAATTTTTTCAAATTTAAAAAAAAATATTCAATACCTTAAATAAATTAATTAATGTGCCGTAGTCGCTTTTGACGCCACGCGCGAATCCTAAAAATGTCACGCACAGACCTATTTTCAGCGTTAAATTAAAGTTATAAATAATGGAGATAGAGTTCCGGGAGCTGAGAGTTTTTTATTGGAAATTTCCTCCTCTTTCAGAATCTTTATTTGAAATTTCTTAAATATTAATAGTTTATTAAATATTGGTAAAAAACTAAATTCCATTTTTTTTTTCATCTTTAATGGTCTATAACTTTTGCAATTTTTTATGTGCTAATACACGCTTTTAGCACATTTTTCTAGGCGTCATTCCGGTTCGAATGAGCTATCGCACATAATTTTAAGAGCAGTATCTCTATTTTGTTCCATTTTCAACTTGTCGACTAGACTACTAAGCAAATGAATATGAATGAATTCATCGGAAAAGCGAAATCCTTTCTACCAAAAGAAATTTCTTTGCCGAAGGAGATTGCATCAAAGTCAAACCGACTAAATCATTTCTGTGTGCACACGATCTCGGTGCAATTTTTTATCGTCACAAGCGATTTCTGGCGACAACTCTTTTAACGAATTCAAAGGAGAAACCTACGTATGTGTTAAGTTTCGTGTGTGTCTACTACACTCGTGAACTTAATTCAGATTTTTATTATTAATATTAACTTAGGAAAATGTATCATTAAAATCGTTTCAGTGGTTTTTAAGATATGCACGCATATCTGGAGTGTACTTATGTATAAATAAATTTAGTGAAGTAAATTATTATTCTCTATTTGTCCATTTTTAATTATTATTATTACCATATAGGTTAAGAAAATTGTAAATATTTGTGTGAACGCAATAAAAATAAATTCCTTTATGATTTTTAAACACGAAATTGTTCAATAATAGCTTATTTCGACATTTTATTGCAATATACAAAATCTGTGTTAATTTGATGCCTTCAAAAAATCTTAGCCCAGATCCATAGGAGAAAAGCATTTTATTTTTGTAGAAATAAAGATCTTTACCTAATTCCATGGCTTACTTCGCAACGAAAATTCACGGTTACAATGTTCAAGCCCCGACACTATACAGTGTAGGTTGGTATGAACGAACATAGTAAAAAAAAACATTCAAATAAACAGACACATAAATATGTCTAGAAGCTTCACACCCTTCACACGTATTGGTAATTGTTAATACCTTTACATTTACGTCAATATGAAAGAATATGTTACAAAATATTTTGATTAATATTGAACGATTTATATTTTAATCTTCGGGATTTAGGTTAAAAATTGTATCATCATTTAATGTGGATGCATGGGTAGAACTCCTCTTGCATTTAACAAATGTTCGGTATCTACAAAGATTGATATTTATCATTATGAAATCATGTATATGCAACTGTCAAATTATTAATATATTAGACCAGGAATGAGAAGCTTCCTGTGACTACAAATAATCTCAATAGACTGTTTTATTCTACTCACGAATCTAATCTAACCTCAATAGACGTTTTATTCTATTATACACTAGAAAAAATACGCAAAGAACTTAATGAAAACATACAAACACATTCACACACAAATAACGTTTAGTTTTACCAAAAGACGTGCGATAATAAAGCTCTACAAAGCACAACACGATTTAAATAAATAATCCAGAAACTTTCAAAAGTCTTCCGTTTTCAAGAGGCTATGTTAATTATACAGAAAATACTAAACTACAAAGCAACGCACAAACATGCTGAGTTTTAAGCCTTGTATAAATAAAGCTTGAATTTTCAGCTGTTTCACACTATTTCAATTGCAAATGCTCTTTGCCTACTGGTTTGAGATTACACTGTAGAATACACGACGTAAT